TGCAATTATTGTAGCTCCTGCCACAGCAGAGGCAGCTTTACAATATTGCTTTCACTTTCAATCATTTTGTAGTGACTGGCTTGTATCTTCCAACACAAGTAGCCACTTGAAAGTAGTCTTTTAATTTGACATGGCTTATGTCTCTTCTGTTTAAGTTAAAGTGCTGAATATCCTTAGAACAGGACAGGAAGGGAAATATGCAATGCCGCCTTTTCTAACAAAGCAATAATGTTAACTTGGAATTTTCCCACACTCTTTCCCATGGGCGGGAATCTCAACTGACAGTTTCTGCAGCTCTGCCCCTGCAAACACTGAACGGATTCAAGGCTTTCAAGAGCTCTCCCAACATGAGGTCACTATGCTAATGGTTATCTTTGCATTGAAATCCACAATCCAAGTCACATGGAATGAGCAACAAAGGAAAGGAAGTTACCACTTTAGAAGGGAGAGTTTTGTATTTTGAAGTCTCTTTGCTATAATCTCTTTCCCAAGGACAGTTTGTATTTGATTTTTTTTAAAAAAAACATCCAGTGTAGGCAAATTGGCCAGAGAAGTGTTTCTCTAAAGTTCCCCCTGATGCAACTATTTTCAGGAAGGTAGAATTCAAAGTCATAGCTGTATTAGTCTGGGTCAATAAGCAAAGCAATCTTATAGCATCTTTGAAAGTAACAGAAAGAAAAGACTTAAATGGACTTCATCAGATTCTTTCTCTGTTAGTCTCAAAGGTAGCCCCCAGTGGCACAGCAGGTTAAACAGCTGAGCTACTGAAATTGCTGACCGAAAAATCAGCGGTTCGAATCCAGGGAGCAGGGTGAGCTCCTGCTGTTAGCCCCAGCTTCTGCCAACCTAGCAGTTTGAAAACATGCACATGTGAGTAGATCAATAGGTACTGCTCTGGCAGGAAGGTAATGGCACTCCATGTAGTCATGCTGGCCACATGACCTTGGAGCAGCCGTAGCCAGGATTTTTTTTCGGGGGGGGGGGGCTGAGTTTGGTGGGGGGGGGCTGAGTCTGAGTGAAAGAGGGTCTACCCTAGCAAACCTTTTGTATCGTTACCCCAATACCCGCATGCATATGGGATTTATTGAGAATGGTGATCAGATCATGATATGAATAAACATAGCAGTTTAAATAATGCACCAGTAAGGCCTTCTCACGGACCACCATCAGAATTCATTAACCCCGACTACATGCCTGCCTTGGAGGCTTAGAAATAGAGATGAGCACCACCCCCGCAGAGTTGGATGGAACTAGACTTAATGTCAAGGGGTAATCTTTACCTTTACTTTTATTAGAGTGTGGATTGGGAACAGAGAACCTTTGGCCTACTAGTAGTTATCCAATTGCCATCAACAATAATTACTGTCCCTGATGGCAGGGGCTAATGCAGGCACATGCAAATTTCGGCCCTCCAGGTATTTTGGACTTCAACTCCCAGAAATCCCAGCCAACTTACTAGCTGAAGTTTTTCCCATGTGTGGGCTAATGGGAGCCAACATGATCTGGAGGAATGCCTGGTATAGACCAACAGAAGCAACTCTTGGACAGAAGCACAAGAAAATCTACAGATCAACATCTGATTGATTCAAAATACAGAAAAGCTTCCTAGTGTATGGAAATTTAGGCCTTTTGAATTCTGTAGCAGTTTTAAGGCATGTGAATACACACACTTCCTTTAACAAAAAAAGCTAATATGATAACATAAACATTTGAAGTGTACATCCATTTTATATCCTATCCTCAGCTTTCAACAATGGTTATGGTGTTATATTAACAGGAGACTAGGCTACAGATTAAAAATAACACTAGCAGTAGTGGAAATCATTTACTTTTCTTCTTTTTTTTTTTTTTTGGTTGGCTGGGAACTCCTTAACTTTCTATGCTTGTCCTGGGTTCATGATCTTTCATTGTTGCTTGTGTGTGTCATGATTGGACTATGTGTAGACCTTTCACCTGAAGTCTTTTGTTAAAAGATTTGTTTGTTGCTATTTAATATAGAATAGCATTGGACTTCTTGGCACACATGGAATAAACATGACAAACGTAGACATGCACTTGAATCCTAATGTCACTTTTAAAAATATTGTTGGTAAAGCATTAAGCTATTTCTTTAATAAGTGTTGACTTTCAGAAGATTTTTTAAAAATTGAATAAAGAAAATGCATACCTTTAACTATAAACCATTCGGAGATTGCAACATTGGAGGTAGACACAGTCAGATTGCATACTAAGGGAGACTTTCTCACTCCAGCATCAGTTACAGCAGTGTTTCTCAAACTTCCTAATGCCGCAACCCCTTAATACAGTTCCTCGTGTTATGGTCACCCTCAACCATAACATTATTTTCATTGCTACTTCATAACTGTAAGTTTGCTACTGTTAGGAATCATAATATAAATATCTGATATGCAGGATGTATTTTCATTTACTGGATAAAATTTGGCATAGGTCTCCAATACGCCCAAATTTGAATACTGATGGGGTGGGAGTAGGAGATTGATTTTGTCATTTGGAAGTTGTGGTTGCTGGGATTTATAGTTCACCTACAATCAAAGAGCATTCTGAACTCCACCAATGATGGAATTGAACCAAACTTGGCACACAGAACTCCCATGACTAACAGAAGATACTGGAAGGGTTTAGTGGGCATTGACCTTGGGTTTTGGAGTTGTAGTTCACCTAGATCCAGACAGCACTGTGGACTCAAACGATGACGACTCTGGAGCAAACTGGGCATGAATATTCAATATGTCCAAATTGAACACCGGTGGAGTTTGGGGAAAATAGACCTTGACATTTGGGAGTTGTAATTGCTGGGATTTATGGTTCACCTACAATCAAAGAGCATTCTAAACCCTACCAAGGATAGAATTGGGCTAAACTTTCCACACAGAACCCCCATGACCAACATAAAATACTGTGTTTTCTAATGGTCTTTGGCAACCCCTCTGACACCCCCTCACACACACCCCCCAAGGGTCCCAACCACCAGGTTGAGAACCATTGAGTTACAGGATTTAAAGGTTGCATTCTTTAAAGGTGCATTTAACTATTTCTTCATGTAACTTGACCATTGCTGTTCTTCCCCCCTGCAATAGTTTTAATAGATTTCTGCTGACTCGACTAGCTTTTGTTGTGATGTTTACTGTGTGAGTGAGTGAGAAAAGAGATGTTTTTAATCTGTATTTTGGACGTTTTCCATTTTGAACCAAACGACTGAATTAGTGCCACAAGCCTCCGTCACGCCCTCCAAACAAGTGCATAATTCCCTGACAAACACCTTCAAGCTGTGCAGCAAGATTTCCCAATAAGGTGTTCGAAGCTAATAGGAACAAATCCAACAGCAGATTCAGACTTGTTGGCTTTTAAATATTAAAAAGGCAAACCTAGTCAGAAACTCGGGATGGAGGAAATGCCTTAGCCAGGCTGTTTATATACCATGCTTCAAAGAGAAGAGTTATGGTGTTTGGCATCTTAACACTCACAGCTTTGCTTTGCTTTAAAGCTCAAATTGCTATCTGTCCTGATTATGGAGGAAAATGTGTGTGAAAAGCCTCTGGAGATTATGGAATGTGACAACAGGTGACCTTAAAATTCACTGTTCTACTCACAGAACTGCATTCTTCCGACCCTGATGCTTACTAAGCAACAAAAACTCTGTTTGCCCCATTGTTTTATCCTTTCTGATTATAGTTGGAAGCAAAATCAACATATAAATTTCAGACATTTAATATATGTTTGAAATTTTTAATTGGCGAACTCAGCAATGATCAGTGAAATATTTAAGTGATTTGTGTTCACAAGCTCCTCATTCAGGAATTGACCTCTTCCTCAGTTTGTCTGAAGTTGCCATATGATCTTGATAGAATTCAATACCTGAAGTCTCCTTGTGATGTTTGTTTTATGCTTTTGTGTTATGTTATTGTAATTGCACTACTGTGCTTGGCCTCATGTAAGCTGCCCTAAGTCCCCTTTGGGGAGATGGTTGGGGGGCATGAATAAAGATGATGATGATGATGATGATGATGATGATGATGATGATTATTGTGTCTCCTCGGCAGTTCACTGTGTGACCCTAGCTTGCCTCTAATAAGTAGATAGCACTGGCCAACACACGTTCTGGTGACTCAAATATTAGGCCTGTTTCTGGATATATTGGGCCTGCTGATTCCAAAAATTGTACTAGTTTCCCATATCAGCTCTAGTTTTTATAATACAGAACATATGCAATCTATCAGTCATCATCTGCTTGCCCAAAAAAAACTATCATAACCATATCTAAGAAGCTAGAGCTGATGTGGTCTATCCAATGTAATTTTCTGAATCATTGCATCAAATAACGCCCCCCCCCCTCAAAACAGTCCTACAAACCAAGACACTAGGAAAAAATAATGGTAGCCAGATGGGCTACTCAGAGCTATGGAGCCAATTGGACCAGATCAGCTCTGTGAAGCAGGTGGTGGTACATTTGTGGGAAATCATATTTAGATGTGTTACTCTATTTTCTTGTCATTGCCTGTGAAAAGTATATTGGGTATTTGGGGGGGGGATGTGCCCCACTTACTAGTTATGGTGTCTGTTATGTTACCTCAGTGACCAGAAGTAGGGTGGCTCTGAATACCAGATGTTGGAGAACTCTTTTTGCTTTGTTGGCTCCTCACATCATCTTCCATAGAAAATGAGACATTGGGAGGGCTACAATAGTTATTGTGCTCTAGCCAGAATACCGGGAGATGTCGTCGAACAACATGTGGAGAGCCACCCATGATTCCCACCCATGTTCTAATTTTAGGTAGTAGTCCCAAGTTGTGCCTCTTGGCATCCCAAAACTAATTTCAGAAAGGTGGTCTACATATGTGTGACCAATCAAGCATGCATTTGTTCCTTTTCTTAAGCATGTATTTATTTTCTTTCAAAAAACACCAAATTAAGAGTGTTCTGCTCCAGCATGCGACCTCAACCAGACTGTTAAATGAGATTACAAATGGAAATACTGGAAATATAGCACAAAGCCCATAAATGGGAACTTTATTAAACTAGCAAGTAAACTCAGAAATGTATAAATGGTCCTTTAAATACATCCAGTTCATTTTTACACATACTTATTATATAGAAATTTACTTACAGTCTCCAAACATGTAACATTTAAATTATTTTCTCTTTTCAAGCTTACTACCATCAAAAGGTAATAAAAATCCACCACCTGCTTTCGCAGATGAGCACAAAAAAAGTTATGCAGGCAAGGCCAAATGGACAGACTACCGCATGTAGCATATGGACACTGGATAGTTTGTAAAACCAAAGGCAAAATGATTCTGTCCAAAAGCGTATTACTATATGAAGAGCATGAAACCAAGTATCAATCACATGGGAAGTGATCCATTGTTTCATAGCCACAAGAGCATTACAATGCTGGTATACTTTCTAGGAAGGAGTTTTTGAAACCATTTCTAAAATAGGAAGGGGTGAAAAACAATAAGGGACCTGAACAGAAATAGAAAAATTGCTCATTGGATTTCTGTGAAATTTTAAAGTCAGTTGTCACAACTGGGTAAGTGGCTTGCTATGACTGATACTGTGTTAGGTCAAGGGAAACTAAGTGGGAAGAGTGCTGGAGACAAGGCTGCATAACCAACTCAGACCTCATGACCTCTGAGGATGCCTGCTATAGATGCAGACGAAACGGGAGGAGAGAATGCTTCTGGAACATGGCCATATAGCCCAAAAAACTTATAACGAACCAATTCAGTATTGTTTTCTCAAATATTTCTACTGTAAGATTTTTTTTTTTTAAAAAAAGCTTTTCCTAAATGAGTAAGATGGCAGCTATTTAAATAAAAGACTAAAAAGCAATGGCTGATGTCCCCACCTACAAATATTTACCTGGAAAGGAACCAAAGAGAAGGCAAGAACGTGTAGCAACAGGGTTCTCCGCATCCTTTGCATTTTTAGCCTGACCGTTTTGCAATGAACTATTTTTCAATATTTTTTAAAAAGCTTATCAAAAAGTTTAAAAATAGTGTTAAAATCCATATGTGAAGCAAATAAAGCTTACTGTACAAAAAAAGCCTTCTGTCATGCATAAAAGGAACCTGCATATTGCATGCCAACAGTCATTTTGACAAAGAAAGGAGGCAGCAGGGAAACCAAAGGCTCCTTGTCATTAGAGCCATAGCAGCATTTCAAGTCATTTGACAGTAGTTTAAAAACCAGTGGAAACAAGAATTGGCAGGGAAAGTGCTGTATGAAAAGTTGCAGCCCTCATGTGTTTTAAACTGCATTAATTGTGGTGCATATTATAAATATGGCACTTCTGTATACCAAAAGCTGGCAGGTTTGCAGGTGAGTGACTTGGAAGTCAAATCACCTGTAGTCATTTCCCCTAAACTACTATTTGTGGTTTCTGAAAGTCATAACATTCAGTTAACCCTACTAATTCCAGCACCAGTCAGTTCACTGACTATGCCATCTGTCCCTGCAAAGCAGTTCTTCCGCACTCGTGGAGAATAAATCTTCTGCCCAGCAGAGTTTCCCCATCTTCCTACGTACACATACAACTTAGATGAGGTCAAAACCCCATCCCTCCCTCAAACAGCAGTGTCTTAGTTTGTCATCTGTAAGCCAGCGGTGCTGTGTGTCTGTCCAACTGCCAGCAATGGACTCTGCAATAGACCCAAACCTATTCTTGGACCCAAAGAAGTTAAATGATCCATATCTCACAGTTTCCCCAAAACAGAAGTTCATTTTGCATTTCCAGAAACGAGGAGTTATTTCATAACTGGCCATAATCCCCTTCCTCTGCTTTCCTTTCTTTTCATTAAACAAAAGCATCCATTTAGTGCAGTCTTCCCCACCCTGGATCTCTGGGCCCCGTACCCTACTCATCTCAAGCCAGCAGAGAAGTCAAGCTGGTTTGGGGATAATAGAGGACGAGAGGCAACACATAAAGGAAGAGGGTACACCAGGCTGAGGAAGACTTGCCTTAGCATGTAAAATGCATGTAGAGGTACTATCATCCAAAAGCAAGGAAACTTTGTTACAGCTATCCCATCACAGTAGTTTTGAATACATTCAATTCAGACCTACAGCAGGATCCACACAATGTACCTTAACTTGCATGTAATGCTAATAATACAACATTACAGTCTGGATATTCCACAATGGAAATATTCAGTGTTGAAAAGTCCATTTTCACATTCTATATTGCCAAAGAATACAATCCCCCCTTTTATTTTCAAAAGTGATTCAGTAGTTTTCCTATTGCAGTTTGGTTTTCATCTTTACATTGAAGGGATGCCGATCTTTCCACTATTATTTGTTCCCTTATCATGGGCTCGGCTTTAACACTTAGAAGGTCACTGTTGTCAGTGTTCCTTTTGATCATTCTAGCACTGTTTGCTCTTTTCAGTGTGCTTCCGCCATTTTCCTTTGGATTAGCATCATCAGAAGCTGCTGTCATCCTCATCCTTGGCAACCTTTGAGACAAAGACCTTGTGAGGGGTGGAGCTTTGGAAGGTGGTGGCAAATCCACCTTTGCACATTTGGAAGAAGAGGCCACTGTATTCCTTGCAAAACTTGGGATGGGAGCTGGAGTCTTTGGAGTGGTGACTGTTGTGCTTTTGTTAACTTCCGTAGGTGACTGCGGTTTGGGCACAGAGCGGCACATTTTGGTTTCATCATTTTTTGACTTGGGAATGTATCTGACTGGTTTGGAGCTTGGCTTTTTGAAGGAGCCTTTCTGCTGCAGTGGCTCCCTCTCAAAATGGCCACTGCTAGAAGCTGCTGTTCCCCGCTGGAATTTTGGTTCCTCTACAGATATGCTCTGCCTATATTGAGGTTTTGGCACAACATCGGCGATTCCCCTGATGGAGTTGCGTCGTGACAGCCGTGTTTCGGCTACGCTAGTGTCTCGAGGTGCTGGCTTGGGCTCTGGCTTTTTTGTACAAGTAGGGGGAGCTGCTTTAGTTGACCTGGAAATAGGTACCACTTTCCTCATGCTTGCATTCTCTGATGTGTTCAGAGTTCTGACAGGTCTGGGGTGATTTTGAGGATTAGTGTTGGGTTTTGGAGTACCTGATGATTTCTCTTTTAGAGAATTTCTCTTTGGTCCGAATCCATCTTTGCCTTTTCCTGATTTTTCCTTCAGAAGACCAGGCTTGCTGCCAGAGTCTTCTTTATCACTAGAAAAGGAGCTCAGACCATCATCCATTTGCAGGTTGCTCACAAGAGGAGCCATGGCACCATCTTTCCTGTTCACTTTGTTGACACCTAGCTTTGGATTATTTTCTTCAGACTGATCAAGTGTCAAAGAATGATCAGATATATCTGACACACAGAATGCTGGTCTTTGTGCCTTAATTCCTGAAATATTGCCCGAGGAACTGGGATTATCAATGTTGGGCCTTGGAGCTTCATTAGCATAACCTGCCCCTTTGGTAGCTTGCTCATCCTTATGTGGAGCCTCCTTAGACTTCCTATAGGCTGGTACTGGACGGGTTGCTGGATTAAGAGGACATAAGCTTGAGTCATCCATTGTCTCCAGATCTCCTTCGCCAACTTCAAAATTAACTTCAGATGGGTCATCCATATCATTTGCTTCACGGAAGTCAAACTTCTGTAGCCCTGGAACAAGTTCACTCTCTTCATAAGATACATCCCAGGGGGGTGTATCTGCACTTTCCATACAAGGCACATTGAAAGTGTAGTTGTCATTACCAGCACCATCTTCATTATTATAGAAGTTAGCATGTGCGCCATCTAATGCCTCTAGGTCATCTATGTGATCAGACTGAGGTGGAGGCAATGGGAAGTAACTGCAGTCCATGCGTTCTTCAGATGCCTGATTTAAGTGCGAGTCAGTCATATTGAGTTCTACAGGTTCTTTAGATTCAATCCAGGCTACGGTTGCTCTTGCTTGACCAGCATGTGCACGAGGAAGGCTATTGGACTTGTTTGGCTCTTCACCCTTTGAGGTCTCTAGGAAAGTCAAGAGCTCCCTGTCTGCAGTGACTCCCAAAGAATGACGGGAGCGCCTGATGCTGGCATTTCTGTAAGAAGGGCTCTGGGGTCTGTGCTGCAAGAAGGGAAGAAATTCTTCTAGCCCTCTCTTTGTCAGTGTCCCAACGTCACTTTCACTGCTGCTCCTTCCAAAAGCCCCAAGATCACCTGCAACCCATGATCGTCGTTTCTCCTCCAACTCCTTTAATCGCTGGAGCTGCTGAAGTTCATGGGCCTCTCTTTCCTTGTTCTCCTGTTTCAAGACAAAGAAGAAGAAAAGCATGCAACATTTTAAATGGTTGGATTGTTAGCATTTAAAACAAATACACACTTCTAAATCCATCCTCCTCACTCGTCCATGCTTTCTGAATGTTGGTCTTGAGTATGAATTCTCAGGGAAGTTGTGAGAATTCTATTATGACACCAGGTGTAATTGGAAAGATATCCTTTTTAGTGCAGCACACATTTTAGCCTGGTGGTGAAAGAACCATTGCATACTTGTTCTTTGTGTGTACTTCATTTCATTATATTGCAGCTTCCTTTCAAAATACACTTACAACATACTACGTAATGCTGTTGTTAAATAGACTTCTGATTCAGAAGACTTCCCGAGGCTTTGCCTAAGTATATTAAAATGATTTGAGAACAGAATAGGTTCATATCTATATATTTAGAACACAACTTTTCAAAATACATTTAAATATATGATTCTTCCAGATGTTTACACACTCTTTGCCAAAGTAATGTCTTTTCAATGTAACAGGACTCAGAAATATTTAGCCCTTCAGATGTTTTGGGCAAAAACTCTATATCCCCTTATCCATTGGCCAGGCTGGTTGATGCTCAAAACATCTGGAAGAATCATAGATTTAAATGGTCAGGGTACCACCTGACATGGCATTTTTTTTGCTCTTCTGAAATCTACACTCTCCAGAGAAGCTTAAAAGCCCACAGCTATGTGCCCCAATTTGGAACATCAAAATTTGAATATATTTTAGAAATTTTATTTGTTCAGTTTGTTACATTTTAATTGGGGAAGCAACACTTATTTTATTCTAGAAAATGTACAATAGGTATATTTTTTATGATGCTGGCCAGGAGTTGAGAGCCATATACAAGGGTGGGTCAAAAAGTAATGCCTCTATAACTCTAACATTTATTTCTTTCACAGTTACTGGACTATCGATGCATGATATGATAGAGGTAACCTTACTCTACTGATATAGTATTTTCTTTTTCCTATAGACTGATTAGAACCATGAATCTGAAGTTAAAAGAAAGAGTCGTCATCAAATTTCTGGCAAAAACAGGTTATGCACCTAAGGAAATCTATAATCACTTGAAGAATGTTTATGGGGATGCTATAATAGACATCAACAATGTGCGACCTCTGAAAGGAAACCTACGTGGTTTCAGATTCAGTGATCTGAATGACATTAAAACAGCTTTAACATCACGGATTATGAAGCAAAAACCTGAATTTTTCCAAAATTGTTTCAATGCATGGGTTCAACGATGGTACAAATGTGTACAAATTGATGGTGGCTATGTTGAACTGTAGTTTTGTATAGAGGACAGTTCAGACTATGATCTGTAGCAACGTCTGCTGTTATTGGTTCATTCATAATGTTTTCATGACAAAGGAGGCAAAATTTTTTGTCTCACTCTCGTATATGTGACCATTTGGATTAAAGGAGACGTACACTCTTCAGTATACAAGGCTGTCTCCAAACATGTTGCCTATTGTCATGATAAAAGCATGGCAAAGATTACATTGTTTTCATGCCACAGGCACAGAGGTTAATCACAGAGCCACCTGTGGTCTATTTCTAGACAACGGTGGAACCTCTTCCCCACCCCACCCAAAACTAAGTGCATCTGCTCAGGAAATGGACCTAATAATTTCCTCCCTCATTTAATCACAACACAAATTAAACAAGAGGTGTGAATATTTTTTGCCAGGAAAGCAAGAGGAAGCTCTAAACTGCGTCCACCAGAGAGTCCAGTTTAAATACCTATAATTTTGTAAAATATTTGAGGAAGCAAAACATGTGCCCTGAACTTGGAGAAGGACAACCTGTTTTAAATTTGGGGTGGCAAGTGTCTCACAAAATATGTAGCCTTATTCTATTGCATCACAGGAAAAAATATTACAGTAGAGTCTCGCTTCACCAACATAAATGGGCTGGCAGAACGTTGGACAAGTGAAAATGTTGGCTAACAAGGAGGGATTAAGGAAAAACCTATTAGAGGTCAAATTACGTTATGATTTTACAAATTAAGCACCAAAACATCATGTTTTACAAGAAATTGACAGAAAAAGCAGTTCAATACACAGTGACATTATGTAGTAACTACTGTATTTACAGACTGGGTGGAATATAAATACAATAAATAAATAAATAAATAAATAAATAAACACCAAAACATTGTAATGAATTGAAACAGCTGTGGATCTGGAAGGGAGGCAGACTGCGTTGGGTAATACAGAATGATGGATGAGCGAAGATTGGATAAGCGAGACTCTACTGTAACACTGTAAAATGAGTTGACAGTGAACCAGATTTATTTTCTAACAACTAAAAGGCATTGTTGGATTTTCTATTAAACATATTCTTACCTTAATTGCTTTGCTGAACCGTAAGCAAAAATCCCTAAATATCTGAAAGCACTCATCCAACTTCATAGTTTCCTTATCTTCACACAAGAAATCCATGAGGGCATGAGCTTCCTTCAGCAGGTCTCGCTTCCAGTGTTCCAACTCTTTAAGTTCTTTCACAGCAAACTGCAAATAAAGGGTTCAAAGACTGATGAATGCTTTGGTTTCAATATATTATGTACACATGTGCTAATTTCAGCATAAATGAAATTCAGGATTAACATAACGATGGGTAGATAGATACCACACAACTGGGGAACTGAAACTGGCATAACATAAGCTTAGCTGCCATTGCTGTACATACATATGTGCCTTTTATCCCTCCACTCAAACAGGTTTCGCAGACAAACCTGCAAGACCAGTTTATTACAAATAATAATGGGATAAGTATCCACTTCTCAAGTAATGATGTCTATATACTGCTACCTCAATCGTACTGTCTCCTGAAGGGCAAAGCATTAACGGGATCAAAGAAGAAGAAAAAACCCTAATGTTTCAGTAAAGAGAGATGGAGGAAAAACCCCAACATCCATATGCATTTCCCATAAGGTGAAAAGCAATAAACAGCTAGTTTAAATAAAATGTATGATGTGGGGACAGATTGTTTATTGGCAAATGCAGAAAGCATATACAGTACAACTAGTTTTCCAAAGTCCTTTCTTTAAAAACATGTAGCTATGTTAAAATAACAAGATGCAACATGTTTATTTGATTTCATAAATCAAAAGGCATAAAATATGTGCAACCAAGCGAGCTAAAGGAAATTTTAAAGGAATGAAACAACAATTTTAAGAAGCAACTTGTATGTCAGAATAATTTTTTCCATTAGGTCCAGTTAGAGGCAACTCCAGCTGATATCCTAAAAGTTGTGAACTGTTGAGCAATATGACATAGTCAAAATTACAGAAATGTAGACTTAGCTTCTTCATATTTTCCAAACTATAATCCTCTTAGAACATGCACAACCACAACTTTAGATACTCAGAAGTCACTCCACTCTGGAATTTCTTCAGAGGTTCTCCCTACATACATCTTTAAGACAATCATATGAACTATAATGCCAATATAAGTCATTTTCAGACACTGGGTTGCTATAAGTTTTTTGGGCTGTATGACCACATTCCAGAAGCATTCTCTCCTGCCATTTTGCCTGCATCTATGGCAGACATCCTCAGAGGTTGTGAGGAAACATTCACACAAGCTCCAACAGACAAGAGTTCTTTCTCCCACCCTGGACTCTCCACAGAAGAGTTCTTTCTCCCACCCTGGACTCTCCACCCAATTTTTCTAGTTTTCAACAGACCTCACAACCTCTGAGCATGTCTTGCATAGATGCAGGCAAAACATCAGGAGAGAATGCTTCTGAAACATGGCCCAAAAACTTACAGTAACCCAGTGATTCCGGCCATGAAAGCCTTCGACAACATATTGATAAGACACTTGTGAGGACTCTTATATCTTAGATAATCTTATATCTACCACTACAATTGTTGTGTACTCCCTTTTGAAGAGGTAGATAGAAGGCCAAACTAGAAGGTCTCAGTAGAAGTTGGTTTTTTGAATGACTAGGAAAAATATACATTCAGTTTTGGGCAGAAGCTAGGAAGAGCAGTTTGAATCCTGGACTTATTCATTGCAGTCTTAATATCAGATGTTCCTCCATGTTCTAGGAGGTCTTACTAAATAGTAGAACATCTTGAGCATCCTTTATCTGGAATTCCAAAATCCAAAATGCTCCAAAACCCAAAATCATCCACATGGGAAACTGACATAGTGGCATCTTTGCATTCTAATGGTTCAATATACAGAAGTTTTCTTTCATGCATAAAATAATTTTAAAATTGTATATAAAATTATCTTCATGCTATATGTATAATAAGGTGTATTAGCAACAACAAGAAGCTGTGTTCCAGACAAGAGTCTTTCCTAAAAGATACCAGACTGTGAACCTGGGGCCATTCAGTTTGCAAAGTACACCATTAAGTTACAGCCTCACTACCAAATCACTTCAGAATCTGCTTTAGAGCTCATATCCTCTTAGGGACACTTAGTTTGAATCTCAAATTCAGTTTGAGATTTGACAAATGCAGTTTAAGTAACAATTGTCTGATCAAGATAAGATGCTGTAGCCATAGGTCTTAAGAAGATTAAACTGGTTATTTTTCTATTCTCCTTTGTTCATAAAAAGCACGCATAGGGGGACTTATAGAAACAAACAAGATGCCTTTAGCATTTTCTTGTGTTTAATAAAAGAGCATTCTTTGAAAATGAAAAAAAATCAGTGCCAGAGATGTATTAGGCTTTGTTTTCTTGGTGGCTTCTCTTACAAAGAAGGACTCAATCAGGAGCCTAAGGGTTTTAACAAGGGATGGGGGTTTGTAAAGGCTGCCTTCAGAAGAGGAGATAATCTTAGCTTTGTCAGTCATCCAAAAAGAAAAAAAAGTAGCATCAATCTTAGCTGTGTCAGTCATCCAAAAAGGAAAAAAAGTAGTATCACTCAACAAGGCAGTTATAAAGATTAGCTATAACTAGGAGACATGAAAAAACGACTCCACCTTTTATATTAGCAGCTTATTCAATGTGGATAAGAGGGGCCAGTTTGTATATCACTCACTATTTTGAGGAAAAGGAGCATATAAAGTATAGAATGAACTAGAACATATACTTGGCATTAAGTCCTAATTGAATCAGGTTTTTAAAATATAAAAGAAAGGAAAAGTGCCTCACTTGGTCATGCAAGTGAGGTCACAAAAGACAGAATACAATATTTGTAGTAATTTCTGAAAACAAAATATAGGAGCTGCCTATTTAATGGACATCAAATACAGTCCATCATTCATAATTCTGTTTAGGAATTACTCAGGCGACAACTGTTCTGGAATGCAAATCACAACACTGTAGCCCCAACCATCAACACAACTTTTAAAATGGATTATTACATGAAATCAATAGTATATTAAATGCATCTTTGACTGAAATAGGTCCAATCCATGCTTTATTACACACTTTTAAAGCCAATTGAAATCAGTAGAACTAAAGTTACTCATAATTTAAAAAAAAACAAAAAAGAACTGCTGCGTGGATCCAGGCCCAAAATCTATGAGTACAGATGTCACAGATCTCACTGTCCCAATATAGATATACTGTTAAGTCATGGACCTCAACGTGTTGCATTCAGTGTACATCTGAATTATGAATATGAACAGAATGCCACCTGAAACTCTGTCTTGAACAAAGTCTGCAGATTTCAAATTGTGGTAATCATAGTTTGATGTTGCATCTCCCAAACAAACCTGTCCTAAGGCAGTTTTCTTGATAGTCTAACAGAGTAATAAATAACTCTTGCTATTATATCTATAAACATAATGGAAAGTAGTCATGGGTCCAAAATTTGTCTAATTCATTTGACTCGTGCTTTCTTTTCGTCCCATCCATTTGGATGTCATGAAACGGAAAGGCCCTTCCTGGAACAAAAATGCAATCAATACAAAAGTTAGGCGGGGTGGATACTGGCTCCAAGCCTGCTTTTCAGATTGATTGCCTGGAGCCTGGCAGGGCCTACAGCCCAGTGCTGAGTAAGGACCACTCCTTACTCATGCTTGGCTGCAGGGCCTGCCAGGCCCAGGTGCATAGGCCCAAAGCCTGCACCCATACAACCAGGTGCTTTGGGTCTATGGTTGAAGCCCTCCTCCCAATAATGGGCCAAAAATGGATCTTTTGGCCCCGAAAACAAAAAATGAATATCTGACCTCCCAATTTTGGGAGGTTCAGATGAGAATGGATCGGGGCCACCACCAAAAGCTGGGACACAAAACAGATCAAGGTAAGTCCCGAATGCACATCATGAGTGCAATTTCCAAGCCCTATTTCAAATCTTAGAGGAGACAAAAATGCACTAATCAGTTTTGCATATAGTAGAAACCAATGCTTCCTTCAGTTTTACCAGCTGTTATTAGCAAACCATGCACAGTAAGGTGCAGTTCACTCTGTGTTCTCAACTCCATCATAACTACATTATGACACATTATACTTGCTGTTACTGAAAGTCAAATGTTCTAAATATTGGAAATTGGAAATCTGTTTGACCACAAGAGACCAAATGATGCAAGCTATGAAAATGTTGAACTATTAAGCCAACAGAATCAGATTTATCCGAAGCAGAATATATTCCAACAAGTAGCAACAGCTGATTTGAGATACTGCCACTATGCTAGGAGAGCTATTACTCTATTGTGCCATACGCAGAGACAACTGGGGCTGTTTGCTGCTCCAAACACTCTGTGTCAAGCATTTCATTGAGAAATAAACATGCTACTACGGGAGGAGGTCAGGAAGGGTTCAGAAAGCAGCCAGAGTCTCTAAGCTTCTTTGTAAAACAGGGGAAACTATAACATTGTTCCTCTCTGAATGAAAGGTTGGATTTTCAGGAAATTAACTGATTCTCTGGACATCAAGGAAGAAACTAAAACATATTACTCCCAAGAGACAGCTCAGTCATCCTTTATTGCAAATTGAGACGTTTGTGGAGTTAAGTAATTTCAACAGATATCAAATGTATTAAATCTATTTAAAAAGCAGAATCAATAAAGCAACACAGAAGAGATATATAGTAGCAAAGGGGAGTTCTAAAATGTTTTGGTTTTTAGTAAAAAGAGAAAACAGCTTATATTTATTCTTTTTTTAACCTAATATTCATCCAAAAGTTCACCAAAAAATGAAAAGGGGACCTGTCCAAGTTTAATTTATTGATTGTTCATTTAAAAAACCGATTTTTTAAAAAATTATTTGTGCATTTATACCCCATCCTTCTCACACCGAAGGGGGCTCAGCACAGCTTACAGAAAAGGCACAATTCGATGCCATATTTACATACATTGGATAAAACAAAACATACACATGAAAATCAATAATTAAAACACATAATCTTGAAAACAAATTACATTAAAAACCACGCAGCCTGAAGGCATATTCCAGGAGCCTTTCCATAAATTGCACTATCCCATAGTCACTTATTACATTGCAGATTACTGTCCAAAGGCTTGGTCCCACATCCATGTCTTCCCTTTCTTTCTGAAGGACAGGAGGGAGGGACCTGATCTAATTTCACTGGGGAGGGAATTCCATAGTTGAGGGGCCTTCACGGAGAAGGCCCTATTTCTCGTTCCCACCACTAGCACCTGTGAAGGAGGTGGGATTGAGAGCAGGGCCTCCCCAGAAGATCTTAACCTCTGAGATGGTTCATAGAGGGAGATATCCCACATTTTTTTCTTTTAGTGGGGGCAAAAGGATTTTACAGCTAAATATATATATACATTTTATAAGGTGTCTTGAAGACGTATTCACACACACACACAGTTCGACTTTTCCACATGTTATTGTTTTGCAACCTGGATTAAATTCATTTAATTGGCATTGCTTCCACTTGAGATGTACACAAGATACTAAATATTGTGAAAGTGAAAAATATTTTTAATTCTGGCAGAAAAGCTAAGTAAACAAAAACAAACCGACACTTGTTGCTTGCATAAGTATTCACCTCCTTGTGTCAATATGTGGCTGGAGCACCTTGGGCAGCAATTACACCAGTAGTATACTTCTTAGTTAAATGTCTATATTTTGTAAATCTGAGTCCACTCTGGAAACGTGGTGGCACAATGGGTTAAACCCTTGTGCTGGCTGAACTGCTGACCTGAAGGGCACCACAATTCAAGAGAGATATTGACAAGCTGGAATGTGTCCAGAGGAGAGCGACTAAAATGATAAAAGGTCTGGAGAACAAGCCCTATGAGGAGCGGCTTAAGGAGCTGGGCATGTTTACCCTGAAGAAGAGAAGCCTGAGAGGGGATATGATAGCCATGTATAAATATGTGAGAGGAAGCCACAGAGAGGAGGGAGCAAGCTTGTTTTCTGCTTTCCTGGAGACTAGGACGCGGAACAATGGCTTCAAACTACAAGAGAGGAGATTCCATCTGAACATGAGGAAGAACTTCCTGACTGTGAGAGCCGTTCAGCAGTGGAACTCTCTGCCCCGGAGTGTGGTGGAGGCTCCTTCTTTGGAAGCTTTTAAACAGAGGCTGGATGGCCATCTGTCAGGGGTGGTTTGAATGCAATTTTCCTGCTTCTTGGCAGGGGGTTGGACTGGATGGCCCATGAGGTCTCTTCCAACTCTTTGATTCTATGATTCTATTCTATGATTCTATGATTCTATATCCGTGAGATGGAGTGAGTATCCATCTGTCACCTCCAGCTTCCCATGCGGGGACATAAGAGAAGCCTCCCACAGGATGGTAAAACATCCATGCATCCCCGGGACAACATCCTTGCAGATAGCCAATTCTCTCACACCAGAATCGACTAGCAGTTTGTCAAGTTGTTTCTGATACGATTAAAAAAAAACTCTGGAAGTCAAAAAGTATGTTAATACTTCTACAAAGCACTGCAAGTGTCCACCATTTATGTAAATTTTAAGTGATTTTTAGCTGTAGCATTTCAAAAAAAAAATGCACTGCAGTAGGATCATAACTGTAGTACAATTTCAAGGTAGACAAGTATATTGTGGCCTCTTTAGGACACCACGAAAGTTCAACTCAGCAATGCAGATCTAAGGCAAAAGGAAGGAATCTGAACAAACCTGAAGGAAGCCTTCCATTTGGTGGTGGAGTTCTGAATCCCGCCGAATATTTTCTTTCAGAGATTTCGTTTTGGTTGAGAGCGAATGTAGCTCAGCTTCTATACTTTCAAGAGATATTCTGCAAGGAAATAAAGCAGCAATCTAAAGGAACTCTTGAGAAAGGAGTTTCATCTCTCCTCATTTTAAAAAGCTGACATGTTGTAACACACACGAATGTTGGCCGAGCCTGCTTAGCAAATCTTTCCACTGTAGCAGCTAATAATTTCCTGCTCCCACAACTCTTATTATCAGCGATCAAGGCTTTCTGCCAACACAGTTTCATCAATATGTTTTAGCAATGGACTGAGGCCAAAGGGCAATCATTATCTTGGGATTTGAGGGGGATTTGAAATTATGAGATTGGTGCGCAGTTGCGCACAGGCTTCTTTTTAGTCTACTTATGATAATTCTGGATACATAGAATCATTTTTGTATAAAAATAATCAAAACTCGTGAAATCATCATCAACAACAGCAACAGAAGGGGAATCCCTAACAAGATAGGTCTTTTAAAAAAGAGAATCCTACACTTTGTCTTGTCTTCTCTCTGGAAAGACAAATTCCTTCCGACTCACAATGAAGGAGGAAGAAAGGCAAAAAGAAAGGAATATGTATGATCCTCCCTTCCCCCCAGCAACCAGATCAGAAGCTTTTTCTAGCTAATAGGACTACCTGCTCTCAATTCTATTTGCTTTCAATCTGGCTAACAAGAATATCCCTTCTCAAATCCAAACTGATGGAGCAGAAATATCCTAGCATATGTAACTCCACTTTGAGCTCTGGCATTCTGTTTGTACAATCTAGGATCTGACACTAAGTAATGATAATAGCTCTACACAATATGTTAAATGTGTTATTCTAAGTTAAATATAATATGTATATGTGTGTGTGTGTACACACACACACACACACACATATATTAGCTGTACCCGCCATGAGTCGCTGTGGTCAACCTTCTTTCTTTCCTCCTTTCTTTCTCTCCTTCCTTCCCTGCCTCATCCTCCTCTCCTAAAGGGCCTGATCTAGGGAATGCTGGGAGCTATAGTCCAAAAGAGTGTGGACATGGCACTGTGAGTTTTGTTTGCCAGGGGGAGTTGTCAGAGGTGGCTCTAGGTAATTTTCAATAGTAAGCAAACAGTATTTTGGTGCCCCCCCCCCCAAACCAATCACTGATATATATTTTCTGTTTGTCGTGGGAGTTCTGTGTGCCATATTTGGTTCAATTCCATCACTGGTGGAGTTCAGAATGCTCTTTGATTGTAGGTGAACTATACATCCCAGTAACTACAACTCGCATATGTCAAGGTCTATTTCCCCCCAAGAGCGGCTCAAGAGCACCCCTGGGCAAAATCAACTATACTGCAAATGCTTACTTTGCGTAATGGGTTGAGCTGCCCCTGGGAGTTGTTTTTGCACATGCGCTGTAGAGTCTTTTTGCTTTTTTGGCCTTTTAAGTCCCTTCTCTTGTGTTTTCAGTGTTTCTATGAGTGATGTTCACTCGTTGGCCTGATGTGTCAATTCGTCGAGTGGATTTTTAGTTATGTTAATCTCACAAACAAACATCACACAAACACACACACATGATCTCATAAGGAGCCCCTGGTGGTGCAATGGTTTAAAACCTTGTGCTGGCAGGGCTGCTGACTGAAAGGTTGGCGGTTCAAATCCAGGGAGCAGGGTGAGCTCCCATCTGTCAGCTCCAGCTTCTAATGTGGGGACATGAGAGAAGTCTCCCACAGGATGGTAACACATCCGGCCGTTCCCTGGGCAAGCTCCTTGCAGACGACCAATTCTTTCACACTGGAAGTGACTTGCAATTATCTGAAGTCGCTCCTTTTTTTGTGTCAGGAACGACTTGAGAAAATGCAAGTCGCGCCTGACATGGAAAAAAAATGATATTGTCATACTGATATTTACCATTTGCTCCATCAGGGAAATTATGTATAGACTAAAACTTCCAAGATGTTAGCAGTCATGCTAACCTCCCTTGAGGATTAAGTCATGGGATCTCCAAACATGAGGGGATGCTGCAGGCATCCTTCTATTTGCAGTGAAAATGAAACCATGGTGTCTGCAGTAAACAGCAGTTAAGGACTCAGCTTTCACACTGAAACACTGTACATGCATTTAAGTGCTTCACCAATAAACTTTCCCAATGTTCTCAGTTTTCTTGCTCACCTAGCTGCTTCATGGACATGCGGCAATTTCTCTGCAAAGTTCAGAAGAACTTTATCCTTCTTTTGGGCTTCCTGAAACAAACAAAACATCCTCTTAACATTCCATTCCCAGGCTGAAGAAGTCAATGTACATCTTTTTGAAATAGTAATTAGAAGTTTCTGCTTTAAATGCATCACGTTTACTTTTAGGAAACCCTCTTTAAAACGCTGGGAACGATCCAATTCAACCGGTTAAAACAACAATTTCTATGGTTCTAAGCATTGGGGGTTTCTCTCTACTGAACACAATCAGGATGCACTAACAAAGCCCATTAAGCAAAAGCAGTGTGCTAAAGCCTTTTGTGCAAGGCTAATACAACATTTCCTCGTTAATCTTCACCTAATATCCTTTCTTCCCCCTGCCCCCTTTTCCTACAGCTTGCAGATTAGCCATTAAACCAGTTTACACATGGGATGGTGGTGGGAGAGGGGGAAAGGTGCATAAGGTCACAAGAATGAATGCTGTATTTTATATTCTTTGGAACACAGGTAAAGACTGCCATCACCAAATGGGTAATTACATAGGTGAGGTAAGAAATCTACCATCTGTGCAACCAGTATCAAAAATGAAACAATTTCCGCCATTATACTTTTATGGAAAGACCTCATCAAAGTACTAAGATTAGATTTGGAATATTGTGTGTAAGCACCAACTAGAGACTAGACTCCTTAGGTAGAGAAATAATCCCAAACTAGAGAATTTAAACACATTAACAGAAAACCATTCATTAAGAGTTTGAACCATATGCTTTCTCAGTTTACAGCATTGCAGATATAAACATTACAAGCATATATTAATGAAGAGAAGAACAAAGGCAGTGACAGCTGAAATTATTCCATTTTGATATTTAATTCTATAGCACTTGTCTCTCTTACAGAATCCTATTCATCAACTATTCCTGCTGCTTAGATTTCTCTATTCACTTATCTTGGAAGTAGTTGTTATTTACATACCAAAGCAACAAAATGGAGCAGATTCATCCCAGGCCTGTTTGCTTTCGTATCTGCCAATTTGAGTAATGAGGACAGCTTAAAGCCAACCGCATTTCCAGCATAGCCTCCCTATGGAGATGAGAGGGGAAGACAGAAGATATATTAGATGCCAGTCCACAAACTCTGGAATGTTTTTTTCTTCAACCCCAGTGACTAAAACAAGGCCCCTCCACTTACCGCATTCATAATATTCCCAGCTTGAAGGACCAAATGCAGTATGGAATGTAACTCTTCACAGCACATTAGCTCTGCAAAAGACATAAGAGTCTAAATCTAGTGGCCATTTGCGCTGTCTACAAGCATTCCCAGTTTGTTGCTGTTGTGTGCCTTCAAGTAGTTTTCAACCTATGGTGACCCAAAGGCAAACCTATCATAGGATTTTTTTTGCATGATTTGTTCAGAAGAGTCTTTCCATTGCCTCCTCTGAGGCCAAAAGTGCATGACTTGCCCAAGGTCACCCAGCAGGTTTCAGGGCAAGTGGATATTTGAACCCTGGTCTCCAGAGTTGACTCCAGTGCTCAAACCACTACACCATGCTGCTTCTCTTTCAAATTGCCTTCAGGAAAGACTTTATTGAGATTGACTCCAAGCAAATAAAATTTACAAAAAATGAAATTAAAATTGAAATGACCAAGGAAGTGGAAGTATAATCCACAAACCAAGTGGCAAGCCTTGATCATAAGAATGAGTCAGATCTACATAAACATGTCCGGTTGTCAGCTGGCAATTGTTTCCACCGTTTCTCTGTCTATGTGTGCTTGTGCTTGCCCTTCCTCCATTCCACTGAAACATCTCTTCTGTAGGTTCGAAGACCCTACTGAATGGGGAGGGTTGCCATGTAGGAAATTAAAAGGGCCAAGGTATCTTCCCCATGCATCCATAAAAAAGAAAAAACAGAGGAAGCGACTTTCAATGATCTCCCCCATTGTCTATATGCTGCAGGCCATCCCATTCAACAGGATCTATGATCTGGATAAAACAGGTAATTATGTAAAGGTAAAGGTTTCCCCTGGCATTAAGTCTAGTTGTGTCCAACTCTGGTGCTCATCTCCATTTCTAAGCTGAAGAGCTGGCCTTGTCCATATACACCTCCAAGGACATTGGGAACTCAGTTTTTCCTCAGCCTCATTATTATTTTTTTGTTGTTGTGTCAGGAGTGACTCCTGGTGTGAGACAATTGGCCATCTGCAGGGACGTTGCCCAGGGGACGCCTGGATGAGTTTGATGTTTTTATCATCCTTGTGGGAGGCTTCTCACATGTCCCCGCATGAGGAGCTGGAGCTGATAGAGGGAGCTCATCCGTCTCTCCCCGGATTCGAACCTGCGACCTGCCGGTCTTCAGTCCTGCCGGCACAGGGGTTTAACCCACTGCGCCACTGGGGGCTCCAGCCTCATTATGCATACCTTACTCTAGATCAGTGGTTCCCAACCTTTGGCCCTCCAGGTGTTTTGGACTTCAGCTACCACAATTCGTAACAGCTGGCAAGCTGGATGGGATTTCTGGGAATTGAAATCCAAACCAACTGGATGACCAAAGGTCCACTACTTTAGATAATCTCCAAGCCATGCACCAGTGCCATGTAGAAAACTAAAAAGGACAAGGGAGCTCTTGGTATCCCATGGGGTTCAGTTTGAGGACCTCCCATGGATACCAAAATCCATGGATAACATAGTACAATAAAATGTGGTCCCTTATATAAAGTGGAAAAATCAAGCCTTGCTTTTTGGATATCTATCCATCTATCCATGGATTCTTTATTTATTTACATGATTTTTATCCCATCTTTCTAACCCTGCAGGGAATTGAAGGCAGCTTACAAACTCTGGCAAAATTCAGTGCCACATGGACATAACAATAAAATTCACATCACATCAAATTATAAAATAGTTAAAACATATGAACAATTAATACACATAAACAATAAAACAGATTAAAAGTCATCTAAAGTGCTGAGTCTTGATCTCATACTTATCCATAGTCATTTTCCATAATCCATAGTCATTATTCAGGCTGTTGAAGTCTGATTCCATAATATCCTATTGGCCAAATGCTTACATACAAAGGTCTTGTGCTTTTTTCTAAAGACCAGGAGGGATGAGGTCTGCCTGATGTCAATAGGGGCCACCACTGAGAAGGCCCTGTTTCTAATCCCCACCAATCACACTTGTGAAGAGGATGGGACCGAGAGCAGGGCCTCCCCAGCCAATTCTGAAGTTCTTCAGAATTGGCTGGGGAGGCCCTGCTCTCGGTCCCATCCATTCTTGTTGGCTCATAAAGGGAGATGCTTGTGGATCTATATATACATCTAAATTGTGGGTGGTTGAATACATAGGTACAGACTTCATAGATATGGAGGGCTGACTACATTCCTATTTTGTATGTATTCTTTTTCAGTTTTAATATTTTTGGCTTATAATTTAGTAGTAGTTGGTAGTCTGTGATGTGTTTTAAACGTGTATTACATGTTTTATTTTCATTATTGCATGTTGGTGTTAGTTAATAAAATTAAAAATTAAAAATATGATTTAAAAAAGCAAAATATAAATTTATGATTTGACTAAGGTGAGAGTGATGTCTAATGGTCTGATTGGCACCAATAATTTTCAGAAATGAGAAATGATCACAAATTAGTTAATGCTATGAGGTGGGAGCTGTTGAACACACAAAAAACTGGGAAGATCACAAAAGAACGCCAACAACTTGGGAGTACAGCAAGAAGCACAATACACTAACACACCAGTCCGATAACACACACACACACACAAACACCCTTATGGAATGTGTCAGAGCTGGCTTGTTTCCTTTAAATAGCTAACAGGTACCTGAAATTCCAGATCTCATCTCTCTAGGTAGGCTGATTAACCTGCTAAGAAAAACAAGAGGCTAATGCATGCTGCGGCATGTTTAATTACCCTTTGTAGCCATTCTTATAATTGTCATGTCTTTCTGCAGAGAAGAACAAGATGGAGAGAATTCTTTTTTTAACACCATGGCTTCAAGTCGGAGTGAATAGCTGAAAACAAACAAAATAAGCTTTAGAACTAGCACACTAGAGAACATTAGTTTATGGTGAAAAGGATGAGGTTAGAATTTCCTTACTTTGGCACCTGGATTAGCAAGTGCATAAAAGAATCTGCTTGACCCAGTTTTGATATGTCGCCACTGAAATCCTTTAATTTCTTTACCTGGAGGGGGAGGAAAGTAAAAGAGAGAGAAGATAGTCACATAAACAGGGCATATCAGTCAAGAGTTTATTTCATTTTAGTACAAAAATGTATTTTTCTGGTACAAACTAAATATTCCATCCAAGAACTACTACATCTTGTAATACAATGATTCTCAACCTTTCTAATGATGTGACCCCTTAATACAGTTCCTCCTGTTGTGGAGACCCCCAACCATAAAATTATTTACGTTGCTACTTCATAACTGTAATTTTGCTACTGTTATGAATCGTAATGTAAATACCAGATATGCAGGATGTATTTTCATTCACTGGACCAAATTCGGCATAAATACCCAATACGCCCAAATTTGAATACTGGTGGGGTTGGGGGCAGGAATGTTTTTGTCATTTAGGAGTTGTAGTTGCTGGGATTTATAGTTAACCAACAATCAAAGAGCATTCTGTACTCCACCAATGATGGATTTGAATCAAACTTGGCACACTGAACTCCCATGACCAACAGAAAATACTGGAAGGGTTTGGTGGGCATTGACCTTGAGTTTTGGAGTTGTGATTCACCTGCATCCAGAGAGCCCTGTGGACTAAAACGATGATGGATCTGGACCAAACTTGGCACAATACTCAACATGCCCAAATGTGAACACTGGTGGAGTTTGGGGAAAATAGACTTGACATTTGGGTGTTGTAGTTGCTGGGATTTATAGTTCACCTACAATCAAAGAGCATTCTGAACCCCACCAACGATAGAATTGGGCCAAACTTTCCACACAGAACCCCCATGACCAACAGAAAATACTGTGTTTTCCGATGCTCTTTAGAGACCCCTCTGACACCCCCTCGTGACCCCCAGGTTGAGAAAGGCTGTGGTAATACATATTGTATTCAACTCAAACTCCCTGTTCCCATTTGTCCATATGGCTTTCTCCTCAACCAAATTACTAGCTTGCTGTCATTTGCCAAGATAGAAAAACTAAGCATAACATCAGTCCTCATACTTAGTACAACTAGAAATTTCCAACAAAGCAGGGAAAGAGATGAAGTCCCAGGTTTGTGTCCCTCCTTCTGTTATCTGCTATAGCATCTCAATGAAGCCCAAAATATTTTAATATGTTGTTCATTCGTTCAGTCGTCTCCGACTCTTCGTGACCTCATGGACCAGCCCACGCCAGAGCTCCCTGTCGGCCGTTACCACCCCCAGCTCCCTCAAGGTCAGTCCAGTCACTTCAAGGATGCCATCCATCCATCTTGCCCTTGGTCGGCCCCTCTTCCTTTTGCCTTCCACTTTCCCCAGCATAATTGTCTTCTCCTGGCTTTCCTGTCTCCTCATGATGTGGCCAAGTACTTCAACTTTGTCTCTAGTATCTTTCCCTCCAGTGAGCAGTCGGGCTTTATTTCCTGGAGGATGGACTGGTTGGATCTTCTCGCAGTCCAAGGCACTCTCAGAACTTTCCTCCAACACCACAGCTCAAAAGCATCGATCTTCCTTCGCTCAGCCTTCCCTAAGGTCCAGCTCTCACATCCGTAGGTTACTACAGGGAATACCATGGTTTTGACTAGGCGGATCTTTGTTGCCATTCTGATGTCTCTACTCTTTACTATTTTATCGAGATTGGACATTGCTCTCCTCCCAAGAAGTAAGCGTCTTCTGATTTCCTGGCTACAGTCTGCATCTGCAGTAATCTTTGCACCTAGAAATACAAAGTCTGTCACGGCCTCCACTGTTTTCTCCCTCTATTTTCCAGTTGTCAATCATTCTTGTTGCCATAATCTTGGTTTTTTTGATGTTTAACTGCAACCCAGCTTTGGAGCTTTCTTCTTTCACCTTGGTTAGAAGGCTCCTCAGCTCCTCCTCACTTTCTGCCATCAAAGTGGTGTCATCTGCATATCTATGTTTCTTCCAGCAATTTTCACCCCAGCTTTGCATTCATCAAGCCCCGCACATCGCATGATGTGTTCTGCATACAAGTTGAATAGGTTGGGTGAGAGGATGCAGCCTTGCCGTACGCCTTTCCCAATCTTGAACCCGTCTCTTGTTCCATGGTCAGTTCTACTTGGTCCTTGTACAGATTCCTCAGGAGAGAGGGAAGGGGGCTTGGGATGCCCATCCCACCAAGAACTTGCCACAATTTATTATGATCCACACAGTCAAAGGCTTTAGAATAGTCAATGAAGCAGAAGTAGATGTTTTTCTGAAACTCCCCGCCTTTCTCCATTATCCAGCGGATATTGGCAATTTGGTCTCTCGTTCCTCTACCTTTTCTAAACCCAGCTTGAACATCTGGCAACTCTCGCTCCATGTATTGCTGGAGTCTTCCTTGCAGGATCTTGAGCATTACCTTACTGGCATGAGGAATAAGGGCCATTGTACGGAAGTTTGAGCAGTCTTTCGCATTTCCCTTTTTTGGTATGGGGATATAAGTTGATTTTTTCCAGTCTGATGGCCATTCTTGTGTTTTCCATATTTGCTGGCATATGGCATGCATCACCTTGACAGCATCATCTTTTAAGATTTTAAACAGTTCAGCTGGGATCCCGTCGTCTCCTGCTGCCTTGTTGTTAGCAATGCTTCTTAAGGCCCATTCAACCTCACTCCTCAGAATGTCTGGTTCTAATTCATTCACCACACCGTCAAAACTATCCTCAATATTATTATCCTATCAGATCTTCTATATAGTCTCGCACCTTCTCTTGATCTCTTCAGCTTTCTGTTAGGTCCCTGCCATCTTTGTTTCTTATCATACCAATTTTTGCCTGAAATTTACCTCAATGTTTCTAATTTTCTGGAAGAGGTCTCTTGTCCTTCCTATTCTGTTGTCTTCCTTCACTTCCATGCATTGCTTATTTAAAAATAGTTCCTTATCTCTTCTGGCTAACCTCTGGAATTGCGCATTTAACTGGGCATATCTCCCCTTATCCCTGTTTCCTTTTGCTTTCCTCCTTTCTTGGGCTACTTCCAGTGTCTCAGTAGACAACCATTTTGCCTTCTTGGTTTTCTTTTTCTTTGGGACGTACTTTGTTGCCGCCTCCTGAACAATGTCTCGGACTTCTGTCCATAGTTCTTCTGGGACTCTGTTTACTAAATCTAGTCCTTCAAATCTGTTCTTCACTTCCACTGTATATTCGCTAGGAATGTTTGTGAGATCATATCTAACTGGTCTGTGTATTTTCCCTGATCTCTTTAGTTTTATTCTAAATTGGGCAATAAGAAGTTCGTGATCTGAGCTACAGTCAGCCCCAGGTCTTGTTTTCACCGACTGGATGGATGTCCGCCACCTTTGGCTGCAAAGGATGTAGTCAATCTGATTTCGGTATTGACCGTCTGGTGAGGTCCATGTGTAAAGCCGTCTTTTAGGTTGTTGGAAGAGAGTATTCGTTATACACAGCGAGTTTTCCTGGCAAAATTCTATCAGCCTGCGTCCCGCTTCATTTTGTTCTCCCAGACCATGCTTGCCTGTGATCCCAGTTGTCATTTGACTTCCCACCTTGGCATTCCAGTCTCCTGTAATGAAAATAATGTCTCTTTTTGGTGTGTTATCCAGTAGGTCCTGCAGATCCTCATAGAACTCATCTACTTCTGCTTCTTCAGCAGCTGTGGTTGGGGCGTATATTTGGATCACTGTAATGTTGAAAGGCTTTCCTTGCACTCGAATTGAGATCATTCTGTCATTTTTTGGGTTGTATCCAAGCACCGCTTTAGCGAATTTCTTATTAATTATGAAGGCTACTCCATTTCTTCGATGTTCCTCTTGTCCGCAGTAGTATATCTGGTGGTCATCTGATGTGAAGTGGCCCATTCCAGTCCATTTCAGTTCGCTGACCCCCAGAATGTCTATCTTTAGTCTTGACATCTCGCCAATAACAACATCCAATTTGCCCTGGCTCATAGATCTTACATGCCAGGTTCCTATGGTGTGTTGATCTTTAGAGCATCGGATTCGTCGTTCACCTCCAGTACCGTCGGCCGCTAGCCTTCCTTTCGGCTTTGAGCTAGCTGCGTCATCACATCTGGGGCTAGTTGAACTTATCCTCTGCTCCTCCCCAGTAGCATTTTGGCCATCTTCCGACCTGGGAGTCCCATCTTCCAATGGTATACCGACATATCTCTGGTTGTACTGGTCCATTTAGTTTTCTTGGCAAGGATACTGGAGTGGTTTGCCATTGCCTTCCCCAGGGATCACGCTTGGTCTGACCTCTCTGCCACAACCGTCCCGTCTTGGGTGTCCCTTCACGGTTTCGCTCATGACATCATTGATGTGCTCAAGCTCCAGCGCCCCGACAAGGCGGTGATCCTTTGCTGGAGCTTTTTTTTAATTTTAATATAAACATCAATTTTCTTGTACAGTATAGCAACATACATCAATATTAGCATTTCTTCCTGAAACCATGGAACACAGTTCCCATCAGCCCAACTAACATGACCAATGGTGAGGGATCAAATGATGTACTATCCAAAACATGCAGCCGCCTGGTTGGAGAAAGTTGGTCAACAGTATTCCCAATGTCTTAAGCATTACGTATGAAAAATATGCCAATGTTCCCTGCCTTCTACCTCTGCTTCTTTGCTTTGGGGTAGCAGCAAAAAGTGCAAATGAGCAATTGAAAATAGAGCCATGGTCTCCACAATCATTTTCCCACCATTTCACAGCTTATTGACACTGAAGTATTCTGTCTGACAAGTGTCAGGAATTTAAAAGACTATGAGATCAATCTCCATGTTGTCACAAACCTGGCATAATGCAAACACACCTGGCAGTTAATAGCAGTCAGTAGGAAAAGACAGCATGAGAGGGCCTGCCAACTCCTTCGCACAGAAGAGGTAAAAACAAGTTGTGTCTCATTTTCTCTCTTTTTCTGCATATCTCCTTTAGGGGGACAATTTTGCACATTCTTGGCCTCTGCTCAAATGGGAATAGGTTCCTTTCATTATTTTTAGAGCATGCAAGCCTCTCCATTCACATATTTTATAATTTGAGACTGGTTTACTAGAATGTGAGGAAG